ATACTAAGTATCTATCAGACAAGCGTTGATTTACATGTTCCCTTCAGCCATGCCTCAACCAGCAAATTATGGAACGACTTGTTTGATGTTGTCTGGGTAGGATGTAAAACTGTTGTTTTTTGTCTTTTGCGTGTTGGCGTGTTGGCATGCTGCCGGGTTGGCTTGCCTGCACATTGGCTAGTTGGCACGTTGGTTTGTTGGTGTGCCAGAGTGTTGTCCACATGTGTGCGTGCGTGCGTGCGCGCGTGCGCGCGTGCGCGTGTGTGTGTGTGTGTGTGTGTGTGTGTGTGTGGGTGTTGGTGTGGGTGTGGGTGTGGGTGTGAGTGTGCGTGTGCGTGTGGGTGTGGGTGTGGGCGCGGGCGCGCGGGCGCGCAGGGCGCGCGGGAGGGCGCGCGGGCGCGCGGGCGCGGCGGGGCGCGGGGGCGGGCGGGCGGGCGGGTGCGGGTGTGGGTGCGGATGCGGGTGCGGGTGCGGGTGCGGGTGCGGGTGCGGGTGCGGGTGCGGGTGCGGGTGCGAGTGCGAGTGCGAGTGCGAGTGCGAGTGCGAGTGCGAGTGCGAGTGCGAGTGCAAGTGCGAGTGCGAGTGCGAGTGCGAGTGCGAGTGCGGGTGCGAGTGCGAGTGCGAGTGCGAGTGCGCGTTCGTGCGCGTCGGCGCGCGTGCGTGCGTGCGCGCGCGTGTGCCTGTGCGCGTGTGCGCGCGTGAGCGCGTGCGCGTGTGTGCGCGCGTGGGCGCGTGTGTGCGCGTGTGTGCTCGTGTGCGCGCGTGTGTGCGCGTGTGTGCGCGTGTGTGCGCGTGTGTGTGCGTCGGCGCGCGTGTGTGTGCGCGTGTCTGCGCGTGTGTGCGCGTGTGTGCACGCGTGTGGGGGTTGGGTGTGTGTGTGTGTCTGTGTGTCTGTGTGTCTGTGTGTCTGTGTGTCTGTGTGTCTGTGTGTCTGTGTGTCTGTGTGTCTGTGTGTCTGTGTGTCTGTGTGTCTGTGTGTCTGTGTGTCTGTGTGTCTGTGTGTCTGTGTGTCTGTGTGTCTGTGTGTCTGTGTGTCTGTGTGTCTGTGTGTCTGTGTGTCTGTGTGTCTGTGTGTCTGTGTGTCTGTGTCTCTGTGTCTCTGTGTGTCTGTGTGTGTGTGTCTGCGCGTGTGTGTGCGCGTGTGTACGCGTGTGTGGGTGTGTGGGTGTGCGGGTGTCTCTCTGTGTGTGTCTCTGTGTGTGTCGCTGTGTGTGTCTGTGTGTGTGCGTCTGTGTGTGTGTGTGTGTATGTCTGTGTGTGTGTGTGTGTCTGTGTGTGTCTGTGTGTCTGTGTGCGTCTGTGTGTGTGTATGTTTCTGTGTGTGAGTTTGTGTGTGTGAGTGTCTCTGTGCGTGTCTCTGTGTGTGTTCTGTGTGTGACTCTGTGTGTGTCTCTGTGTGTGTGTCTCTGTGTGTGTCTCTGTGTGTGTGTGTCTGTGTGTATGTGTGTGTCTGTGTGTCTGTGTGTCTGTGTGTCTCTGTGTCTGTGTTTCTGTGTGTCTCTGTTTCTGTCTGTCTGTTTGTCTGTCTCTCTGCCTGCCTGCCTGCCTGCCTGCCTGTCTGTCTGTCTGTCTGTCTGTCAGTCTGTTTGTCTGTCTGTGCGTGCCTGCGTGCCTGCCTGCCTGCCTGCCTGCCTGCCTGCGTGCGTGCGTGCGTGTGTGTGTGTGTGGGTGTGGGTGTGGGGTGTGCGTGTGCATGTGCGTGCGCGTGCGCGTGTGCGTGCGTGCCTGCGTGCCTGCGTGCCTGCCTGTGCGTTGGCGTGCGCGTGCGCGTGCGCATGCGCGTGCATGTGCGTGTGCGTGTCTGTGTGTTTGGGTGCTGCGTGCGTGCGTGCGTGCTTGGGTGTGTGGGAGTGTGGGTGTGTGAGTGTGTGAGCGTTTGTGAGCGTGAGCGTGAGCGTGAGAGTGAGTGAGTGAGTGAGTGAGTGAGTGAGTGAGTGAGAGTGAGTGAGTGAGTGAGTGAGTGAGTGAGTGAGTGAGTGAGTGAGTGAGTGAGTGAGTGAGTGAGTGAGTGAGTGAGTGAGTGAGTGAGTGAGTGAGTGAGTGAGTGAGTGAGTGAGTGAGTGAGTGAGTGAGTGAGTGAGTGAGTGAGTGAGTGAGTGAGTGAGTGAGTGAGTGAGTGAGTGCGTGAGCGAGTGAGCGAGTGAGTGAGTAAGTGAGTGAGTGTGTGTGTGGGTCTTTTGTTTTGTTGATGCGTTCATGCGCGGGTGGGTGGGTTTGTTGATGTGTTGCTCCCCCAACGGCGGGTTTGAGACCTGGAAGTGTTAGATGATAAGGGACTGCGCCGGTCAACCCGTTCTCCTTCATGTCCTCCTTCCGCCTCTCCGAGTGCGACGGACGAGGTTCTGTGGCGCCAGTGGTCTGACACTGATGGCGGTGCTGACGTTGAGGCTGTTTTGGCTGCCTGTGGCCCCAACCCGCCACGGCAAACCGCTTGCACACGCAAGTAAGCACCTTTAACCCTTGTATGCCAGCTAGCATGTTTCGCATTCGACTTCTGAGAATGCTACCAGTTTGTGTTCTGGCCTTAGCTCTGGCCTTGGGTCTGTAGGCCTTGGGCATTGTCCAGACTCAGCCTCGCCGCAGACTACATTGCCCAGCGCCGCTTCAACGTGGCAGCAGCCTACTGCAACAGCTTATGACACCAGGGTGGGAATGTTGGCAAATCAGGTTGCATGAAGTAGGCCTCAGGCCTCCTCTTGCAATAAGAGCCCACGTTATGAGAAGAGAAGCAGGCTACCGCTGAGGGCCGGCGACGCCTTCCGCGGAGGAAACTGCCTGAAAGCCTTCCAAGAAGATTTTCACACATGGGGCTCTGAGGCTCGTTTTCATAAAACCGTCAGCTCCCTGACTACAAAAGACTGTGGCGAGTTTGAACGCAAGGAAAGTGAGGAGAAGCAACTTTTTGTGTTTGTGCGTTGACTTATTGGCTCCCAATCAACCTTGAAACGCAATGGCACTGAGGCCAGAGTCTGAGCGCCTGGCGCAAACGAATCTTCGCCCATCTTGTGCGGGGCAGGCGGCGATGGCCGAGGTCTATGTCCGCACTCTACGGCCAAAGACAAAAGAAAATGGGAAAATGACGGAACATGCCAAAAGACCAACACTTTGTTTGAGCCATAGTCATCCCCCTTTGCGCGTGACCAGTACTTTATCGATGGCCCCACTGTGGAGCCGGCCTCGGAGACTTTTGTCCGGGCGAGCTGGGAGCGGGGCGTGGGTGCTGAGGGCGGTGGCGCTGACCCCAACTGCACCGCAGGACGTCGGACCCCCTTTTGGTGTTTGGGTCATCTTCTCAGAACGTGAGCAACCAATGCAAACCCACAAAGAATGCCGAAGGCAGGGTGTCACTGATGTTGAGGCAAGAAGGACTACATGTTCCTTGAAACACATGTAGGAGGTTTGTCAAATATGAGCTAGTGTCGTGTTTCTGCCAGTAGGAAGCAGGCCACTGACTATCCAGCCTTTTCCGGCCTGTGGAAGTTTCAGGAGCCCACCCCTTGCGGCCATGTATGCATTTCAGGATACCTGAGAAGGTGCTTTCCAATTAGATGCTGCCGAAAAAGGATACCTTTACGGCCTACCAAACCAATGCACAAATGATGCAAACGTGCTGTTGCACATGCGCGCAAAGAGGATGATACCCCAACCTTATCCTGGGCTGCCGAATGTGCCAAACGATGCCAAGGTGCAAGATTCCGAGGCAGTGACTCAGGGTCCGTTGCTTGCGTTCGTTTGAAAAAGGTGCCGTATGGTGCCGTGACAGCGTGCATCCGACGCACGTGTGGCAACGGCACTAACAAGTGCATTGAGTAATTACCGCTCTTGAATGCACGGCACCTCCCTCTTGATTGTACAACATGTCACCCTTGAAGGAAAAAAAGTGGCACGACACCATGAGTTGCTCTGCAGATTCCGACTGGCCAACACATGTCCTCTGAAGAAAACGCCTGGGCGGCGAACGATACCACCTGGGGCCTAGCCCAAAAAAAAGAAGAAACAAGTCCGATTTGGTGATGCTGCCTGTGGGCCATAGCTCCTCACCAAACAAGAAATTGAGAGGGTGAAATCCTCCGAGCAACCAAGCAGAACCCGAAACCCACCGACTTTGTTCCTGCATGTCTCTGTCAACATGGTCATGGAGGTTTATGTGGGCCCCACCTTAAATCCGTCAAACCAGTCGCGCTACAGGGATCCTTACATTCTACACCTGACCATTGCCTTGTAAATGGAGGTGTTCCTGTATTTTGGTGGAAAAAGCCATGTTTCAAATGGGCAAAATGTATCTTTTGAGCCCTGAGCTAGCAGGGGTGATAGTGGTGTTGCTCAACCAGGCCAGCGCTTTTCTTGGTGCTTCAGGCGTCGCAGCTCGCAAGCGGATGCCAAGTCTTGCCCTGGCCAACGACACGCAGCGACCATCCAACGGGTATCCATCTGATGATTGTCCCAATCAGAAAATTCCAGCCGAGTTGTTGATGGCCTAACCCCCCAAGCATTTTCCACAAAGGGCGTGAATTCATTTTCCAACATCGAAGCTAAGCTGACAGGAGGAGCTCGGAAAACTACAGCCGTCGTTCAAAGCTCGTCCACTTCTATTGCAGGAAAGAGGGTGTGTATATATATATATATGTATTTTATATATATATATATAGATTTGATAGATTCTATTTGGGCACGCTGTGGTGGACATCAGTTGCATGGGGAAGTTTTGTCCACCAACCTCCTTTCTCGAGAGCGTTCCTTCAAACACAACATAGCCGACCAATTGGAAGCTCATTCTGCAAGGGCCGCTGCTAAATCAATACCCTGGCAGATCCGCAAGGGGACATTGCTGTAGATCCTCTGCCCTTGCGAGGTTGGTATAATTTGTCCACTCATACTTGGCCATCCCGTGGATAGTAAACCAAGTGCGCCGAGTACCTAGCCCGCAGGTCTGTATACTCCCTCCGTGGCTTGGGTGGTTTCAGTGTCACTTCTCGTATGTTCTTGTTAACTAGGTTTCCTGCGGGTGCGAATGGGAAATCTAGGCCCGACAGTGGACGGTTCACACTCAGCTTGACTTCTGCCAAGAGAAACCCTCCTGCTTCACTTCTCAACACTGCCCAGTCTGGTGTAGTTCTGGCCAGGCCTGCCAAAAAAGCACGTTGGTGGAACTAGACCCTGCCAACCCACTAAACAAATGCCCAAAACACCAGAAGCTTGAAGCCTTGATTCACCATGCCTCGTGATTGGGTGCAGGTGACGCCGGAGCCTGCGTCGCATTTGGTTGTGTTGCACGACTCGTGGCTCCCAAGCTTCATTGCGAGCTCGCCGCTTGATGCACCGTTGGCACACATGAATTAACTGCATTTATAACTTAATCACCCGTGCAAAGTACATTGGCTTCGTCGCTAGTCGGTGCTGGACGACTCCTCGGAATCAAATTCGATGCACGTGCGGGCTGCTTGAAGTTTCATTGACGTGCCTCTGCGGAAGACTGCGTGCGATCTATGGTGCTCTCCTGACTCCTGCAGCATGTCATGCAGAGCGTTGCGTGTTAACTCATCGTCAGTGGCATCCTTCTGCGTCGCCTTGCCCACCAAGCAAGGCCACAAACAGCGGTCCTGCACCACTGCAAAGGCAGATTTCTGCTTCATGGGCGGAGCAATCGTCAGACAAAAAAAACAATCACACACACACAGATTGCCACGATTCCCATTTGCGGCGGAGGATCATGGAAGCAAGCGCCGCAGCGTTGGGTGCAAGGCAGCATTGTCTGAGTGAGGTAATCGTCCGGCACATCTTCTCCCATTCGGATGCCAAGGGCGTGCAGCAGGCATTGTGTAGAGCCTCCAAGGACCAGGAGAAAAGCGACGATGACTACCAAGGTGGCCGTGACCAAGGTTTCCTTGGTGCCTTCTCCTTCGATGATATCCACCCAGGCACCTAGCTCCCAGCATAGGACCAGAGCGATGGCCCCTCTAAGGCCAGCATGCCACATCATGAAGAGATGCCTGCAGGACAGGCGGAACCATTGGGACGAGGGAGTGTGTTGTGAATGGCCTATTGCGGTCTTGATGCCGTTCACCATCAAGCCGCAAACGATGATGCATAGAGCCCCTTGGTGCGCGATATGAGCACTTGACTCCCCATCAAGTTTACCAGGGTACCTGCCGCTTTTTCTTTGGATCCCCGCATGGGAAGGAAATGCCATGGGAACAAATATTGAAATGTTTGCCGTGTCTGAACGAGGCTCGGCCGGCCAGGCAGAAGAGCATGACCCAAAGACTGAAATAGAACGCTCGGGGCTCTTTGCTAACAGCAACAGCTCCCACACCCACAATGAGGAAGGTGAAGGTGTCTGCAAGCGTCGCTGTGCCTTTCCTGTGGAAGCTTCACTGGATCGTCTGGACACTTGAAATAACACGACCCTCAGCAGTGGACAAAGGGGCAACCCAGCAAACAAAACACAACAACACTTTGACCCTTCTTGGCCCAGCACACACGCGCACAGAGACGCACACCCACACACAAACACCAAAACACAAACAAACACACAAACACACACAATTACAAAACAAAACAACCAAACAAACACAAGCAAACAACACGCGCACACACACACACAAAAACAAACAAACAAACAAACAAACAAACAAACAAACAAACAAACAAACAAACCAACCAACCAACCAACCAACCAACCAACCAACCAACCAACCAACCAACCAACCAACCAACCAACCAACCAACCAAACACACAAACAAACAAACAAGCAAACAAGTACACAAACAAGCAAGCAAGCAAGCAAGCAAGCAAGCAAGCAAGCAAGCAAGCAAGCAAGCAAAATAAACAAAATGTGATTCGGGCACGAGCCTGTGCCCAGGCAATGGGTTAGTTGGGGTAAACAAGCCACAAAAGAAAGGTTCCCCAAAAGCAAACCAATCCCCGGTCCCAAAGATCAGGGTTTCCCACACACCAGAGAACAACAACCAAAGGAAAACAAACCAAACAAGAAAAGGGTTAACCCGCAACCTTGGTCGACAACAGGCCGCACGACTGGTCCCTACCAACCTGGCGGCGGCCCGAGGTCTCTTTCTCCCCCGAGATGCCGTCGGTCGACGCAGGGGTTCGGCGACGCCCATTCGAGGCGCGACGGAACCCAAAACTTGAGCCAAAACACCACAGGTCGGTCACTAACGCGACGTCCCTGATGATGATATGAACCATGGCTAATCACACCCCCCTCACGAGGAGCCCGTCATATGACGGGTGGAGCGTGCCATTTACTGATAGGATTTAACTGCTCGCATGCGTCCGCAAACAGCTGGACACTACCGCCGTCAGCGGTGGAGCAAACCCACAAAGGCAGTTGCGCGACATCCCGGGCATTAAATTCCCGCCACCACCCCGAATTAATCGGGGTAACGCTGTCCAACAAACCTTGTGGAAAAGTCCACATGACGACATTAGGTCACAACTGTTTGCATCAACAATGCAAGAAGTTTAATTCTTATCAGAAGCCATGAAATAAAAGATAACGTATGTCCATTAGTACCCTCGCCTAACGGCAAGAGGTACCCCTGACCATGCGTACCTGGAAAAATGCTTGAATTCCGCAAACCCGGGAGTAACCCCCCATCAGTTTGCTTTCCCTCTCACTCACACTGCTCCCTGATGAACACGTCCAGCAGCCCAGCAGCGGTATGGGAGGGACATGATCTCCGCGCCTCAGCGGTTCGGGAGGAACATCATCACCTCCGCACCGCGCCGACCATTGGAGAATGGACGCAAGCCTATCGGCCGCAATCCTCGTGACTCAGCCTACCGGCTATCGTCACGTCTCCTCCGGTCACGTCCGCCCCGCGCACGGTCCCTATCACGATCCCTTTCGGATCTCCTGCGATCATCTCGCCTTCGATCTCGCTCCCGATCGAGTGAATCATCATCACGACGATCACGAGCATCGTCCCTCCTCCTGTCGCGATCATCCTCGCGCCGCGGACGGTATCTGCGCCTCCTCGACTCTCTGGAATCCCTGGTGTCCACGGTCCTAACGGACCTCCGAGAAGGAGTACGGGAAACATCCGATTCCCTACGCCTCCTCCCAGATCGAGAGTTCGTCACGATCTGGTTGAGAGCCTCCAGTGCCGACGCGTCCTCACCATTCCTGATGAAATCCCTGACCTGCTTGTTCAGCACTCTGTTGGTGGAGATCGACAAGAAAGCGTCCACCACCGAACTCTCAGGCAGCACCAGGAAGTGACCCTCCACCGGGCTCGCCGCAGCCCGCTCAGCAGACTGCAGCCGGATCTCCCCGCCTTCAGGCTTCTTTGCCATCGCCTTGGAGGCAGTCAAAGGCGCTACCGCATCCTTTGCCGAAGATCTGCCAAGCGCGGAGTGAAGATCATCCCCGCTAGCTTCTCTCGCTGCCGCACCTGGTCTGCTGTCGACGTCGCCAGGCCTCGTGGATGCCTCCCGCTTTGTCGACTCCTTCGCAGCCTCGTCGGGATCCCAACGGGACTTCCTTTCTCTCTTCTGCCCTTCGGCCGACCCGCGGCTACCGCCGGGAGCGTCACCTCCGCCTGTCTTCTCCTTCTTGACCTCAACCTTCGGTTCGGCCTGCTTCGTCTCCTTAGCCACAGCTTTTGGAGCCGGAGCACTCTTCGCCTCAGATGCTGAAGCAGCCTTCCCTTTCGGCTCGGCCTTAGGAACCGGGGTCACTTTAGCCTTGGCACTCGGCCTGGCCCCTTCAACCACCATCTCGGCCCAAGACTTCTTCGGCTGAGCTGCTGCTGTATCAACCTCCATCGGAGCAGGTCCAGCATCATCCTTCGCCTTTGGGACGGATGGGCTACCGCCCTTACCGGATCCTTTACCTGGCACTTCACCTGATTTTGGTGGCGGGCCGGAAGGACTACCGCCCTTACCGCCCTTTTCCCCCTTCTTCCCTTTTCCTTTTCCGCCCTTGGGGACCGGCTCCTGCTTGGGACCAGGACCCGGCGCAGCATGATGCACCGATTGGAGTCCCTCGATGTCCACGTTCAATGGTTCGGGTTGACGACCGTCAAGAACCGTCCTCACCCTTTCGTCACTAACGTAGACGAACGGGTCACGGAAGGGTGCGGGAGGCTCCGACTGTCCGGCGCTGATCGCCTTCTGCACCTTGGCTATCGCCTCCTTCAACCTCTTCTTCTCATCGTACCCCGTCTCCGATACCATGTACTTCCTGAGCTGCGAAATCAACGCATGACTCTCCAGGATGTCCACGTCCTTTCGATGGGTCGGGTACAATGGGGTCAGATGACCAGCCGCGGAACCAATCACGTAAGCCATCGGAATATAGAATGACAAGTACGTGTCATGACGAGCGAACTTCCTAACGGAAGTCGTCATACGCCTACCCCACTGAGCAGCGTGTCTTGGGTTGGCCCGGAAGTACTCCGTGACCGACTCAAATTTATCGACTTGGTTGGTCTTGATCAGGTGCTTCGCCACCCACTTCTCCACAAACGCATCCGAGGCCGAAATCCCGGACACATAGGAGAATTGGAAGAGCACCTTCGCCAGCTCATCCCACGCCGCATCGACACCTCCCTTGTCTTCACCAAGATAAGGGGGAAGTCTGATGCCGCTCTGCACCGTCATCCTCAGATCGGATGCCATTGAATAGGAAATCAAATTCCTCTTGATGACTCCGACCACTTCGGAGGGGATCCTCCTGGGCTTGAACTGCCCCATGGTCCTCACCCATTCCGGCACGATGTGGCATCTTTCGAAGTCCTTTTCCTCCGCGTTGGGGATAAAGTTCGGGTAAAAGACCGGGAGCGCGCACCCGGGACACAAGTGCATCCCATTCGGCATCAATTCTGCGCACCTCAAGCAGAACGTGGCAGTCACATTCAGCCTGATCTCTTCCCGTGATCGCCTGTGCTCTCCCCTAACGGGGGTGAAGTCACCGTAGTCCCATGCCCGATGGTACACTATCGTGTAATCATCGTACATATACGCCGCCTTCCAAGCCCCCATGTGGATCTCGTTCCTAACGGCAAGAGTCTTCCTTCTCGTCAAAAACACGGGTCCAACCAAGGACCAGTGCACCCGAAGATCCACCATTACCACCACGTACCTACCGGAGTAGTTCCGCA